ACATGAATATTTCATTAGTTTTATTTATAAAAAATAAAGTGTTATTCGATTGCTGGGTATTGAAATATTCATCTGCTTTACTTGATTTGGGGCTATGTTATTCGACATATTTCTCGTGTTATTTCAATTTTTACTATATTATTATTGAAATAACACAGCCCCAAATCAAGCAAAGCTGGAGAATATTTCAATAACGCTTCATTTTTCACAAATAATGCTGGTAAAATATTCTTATAGCACGACACTACTACAATCCGAACGTAGCTCTAAATTCGGAGTCCTGACGTAATATTTTTTCTTTGACCGAAGGGCTATGAGCATCATGTTTAAATTTATGGTTTAGACCACTTAAAGTTAAAATTTATACATGAATTATCCAAAATTTTATTTTATTTTGAAGATTATATTTAAATTTTCTGTGGCTGAAATATAAAATTTTAAAGTCATTAAGTAAATAAATTAATTTATATCGATTTAATTTAAATAAATTGAATTTATTAAATATAATTAAAGATGAATTAAATGTTTAAATAGGAGTCAACTTTATAAAAATTTAAATTTAATGTCTATCACATCAAAAGATGCTCAGGATTAATCCGGATGGAATAAATAAAAAATTACAAGATTTATCAAATCCTAATTAAAAAAAAACCCTAATTGCAGATAAATTTAAATTTTAAATTGTAGGGGTTAGATATGTAAATAAATGAAGATTTCTGTGGCAGGTATGTAAATTTTTCCGATTTGTTTTCTTCCTCTCAGTTATTGCGGGATTGAAGGAAAAGTATGCGGAGGCGATGAGGAGGGAGGAAGTCAAGGCCATCATATTGACTGGTGAATTTCCTTGGTCGTTGCTAGCTTTTATTTGCTTATTGCGTTTTATAACAGACTGGTGAATTTCCTTGGTCGTTGCTAGCTTTTATATTTGCTTATTGCGTTTTATAACATTTTTTTTTTATTAGAAAAATATGATGTAATTTAAGCTATTGCGGGGCCCACCCTGGTATTTATTAGGATAATGAAAGTCAAATCTTCATTTATCATCATGATTTTGACTGGATATCCGTTAATTATTCGTCTAGGATATAGGTTTAGTAATAGTCAAATGCCAACAACTCCCAATTTGACTCTTGCGAAGGACTAAGGATCCGGTTGGGGCGATAATGCGGTGGTGGTGTGACACCGTATCATAGTTTTGTTTGTTTGGATAAATTATATTTTGATAGCTTTTTCAAAAAACTGTCACTGAAATCTGCGTTTTCCCACGACTCCTAGCTAGGTGCGGTGACAACTTTATAGTTGCGGTCTGAGTTAAGAAAAAAACAATTTATAATAGCAACGACAGTTTTTTGAGCATCAGATTTTTATTCAGCTGTTTCACAACTATTTTTTAATAAGCTGCAGCTGCCTCAAATGGACGCTAAATTCTAATTTTTTTCGGCATTGATGTATGATGTTCATCTTTTTTGTTGCTTTGTTGACGATCATCTCTTTTATTAAAATGATGACTCAGCGAAGTATCAATCATTATCATCATCCAATTTTTGTTAACTTCCATCCAAAACCTATTAACAATTAATGCTTGATACGTGTCTCTTCTATTAAGAGAATTGTTGTCAAGTCAATTCCCAGCCATTTCTTAAGTTCTTAACTATAATAACCAAAAATTTAATCACTTCAACAAAGTTTGGTGGTTTTATATCATTTACAAAGTCATTTTTTTAGGTCTCCTAAACTTTATTTTGAATAACTCTATGGCCGAGACAATGAAGTTTGATGAGACAAGCCCAAAGAGATATATATATATAT